AAAATAAATGTATTTTGAAATGGAAAAAACAATCCTGTGCCATGCGTCATCCATGGGAGGCAAAGGAGGCAATCTATTGAGAGTTGTGTCCTTGGCTGTCAGATGAAGTGCAAGGCTCTTCAAAAAATATGACAACTGCTACATACAATGTACATGTACAGGTATCCCGTCTGGAAATAAAGTAAAATCCCTGCACACTATGACCAGTTCTTTTTTGTTGTGGGTAATTCCAGAAATGAGGGGTCCGTTTTTTTCGTGTCCCTGTTACATCGGACATATCATTTTGTAAGTTCAGACCACATTTTCTAATTTCCAGCAGTGATGAATAAATGCAAATTGCCTGCCAAACAAACAGTAATACGGTAGTTTGAAAACAATTCTGGGTGATGTTTCCATGTCAAATACAGGGACACGAAAATTTTGGACACAGGCCTTGCAACTTTATTAACATTTCTCAAACTGCAAGTATTCAGGGGGACGTTAATGAAACTGAGCAGCATTAGGGAGATGCCCAACACCTGCATTGGTGCCTTAATCACCCTCGACATCGTGTACAGCGGGCCAATAAAACAACAACCTTCAAACAATCAAAAGATAAGATAGTTGTTCACGGTACAGAGCACGCAATCCGATTATGGCAGTTTAATCGGCATGCCAAAGACGAGACGACATGTCATTATTATGAATCCGTTGGGAGGGGGGCTGCGGTGTTGTGGGCACCATGCGGGAGGCTGATTGCACTTTAAAGGCATAATGGATCATTTGTCATACATGTATGTGACTATTTTTGGCTCAAAGCAACGGAATTGCTCAAAATCTTGAACATGGGCACTTAGCAGCTGAGCCAATGAGGATACAGCTCTGTGAAAGCTGTCTATTTTGAGAAAAATGCAATGTACCAGTACATGTTATGGTTCCACGGCTCCATCAAAGGTTGGTACTAATTTCACATTTTGAAATGCAGCAAACCAATTAAAGATCAGAACACAGGTCATACATGTAAAATGCCCACAAACCAGTAGGGTGATCACAACTTGCCAAAACGTGTGCCCCCCAAGGTTAATGTATCCATTTGGATTCCCTGAAATTTCCAAACGCGACATGTCTTGGGAAATCACCTTCTTTTATTTATTTATTTCTGAATGTATTTTTTTCAATGAAATGACAGCACACCTGACAGAAAAACTTCACAGGGAGGTTACTACAAAGTAAGCTTTTGGACGGTATTTTTTGTTGGTTTTTCTTTTCATAGGGCTGAAAACTATCCGCTCCATCTACACCTTTATGTGGCGATGTCTGCATGAGTTCTCAATATTTCAAGTTGCATGTTATGATGCCCTTTGACTGTTCTCAAGCAGTTCAACATGAATGACACATGCAATGGATTTGGCAAATTGGCACTGTCCCATCATTACGAATGAAACATCATTCTCCTGACGACGGACAGAGCATATGGTCTGAAAAGTTGAGTACCACCGGTTCTTTTCAGAACCCTGCAAACTCAAAAAGAGATATATCCATGGTGCTCCCGCAAACCTATCTCGTTTACTTAGCACTACCTCCACCTTGAAAAGCTGCAAATCCTCATCAAAAATCATTTCATGGAAATGCAAACTTGTAACACTGCATACACTTTTAACATTCTTGTTAAAATGTCAATCTTGACCAGAATAACGCTTATTTAGTGAGCCACCGTTGACGTTGACGAATTGCATCAAATGAGGTCACCGACCTTTATCAACATACATACATGTACAGGACTACTGGTAAGGGGCAAACCTGCGATGCAACCTCGTTCTGAATTTGAACAAACAACTGCATGTGATTAGCATATATCGTACAGGCACAGAATCCCTGGAACAAATTTACGGCAAGTCCATCCAGGCACTTCCAAACGCAACAGCTGTGCGGCTTTACAGTGTAAAATGCCAGAACAGTACAGCAGGCCTACATGCATGCACGGCACTGAGCGAACCATTTGACCTTGTTGATATACACGTACATGTAGGTAACCACTGTAAACAATGTGCGCATAATTCAGCACTAAATCTGCATATATAATGAGTCCAACAGTTTCTCCATCTTTCAATGGTAACATAATTTATTTCACACACCCTGGCAGGTTTGAGCATAGCTGTTTGGATGTACGGACATGACCATAACTGGAGTAAATAAAATAACTGTAAAATATTCCGCGGTTTGAGTTGAAGGGGTCAACAGCAAATGCACTGATCCGGACCAAAAATGTAAAAGCCCACAGACTGCAAAATAAATAAATACATGTACTCAATTTGTAACTGGACTTTGAGCTAAAAAAATAAGCTGATTCAGCTTTACGCTCGCTGAAGAGGGAAATACCGGTACTCGACCTCAGAAAAGTGGCGGTTATCAAAGATTTAAACACTCCAGACTGGGTCTCATCATGGTAAATGGTCTACATGTACGTACAGCAAGTACATGCTTCTCAAGTGTTTACGGTCATGTGGAGATGCTCGCAAGATCTGGAGCTGTTCATTGCTGAGAGGACTGACAAGACGCAGCCTGTGCTGAAGATTGCAGTGTGGGGTAGGGGGGCACAGAAGGAACACGCTCTCCCCCTCTCCCCGAAGTCAGTGCCCCAAATCCAGGTGTCCCCCACCCATTTGAAACTTTTGAAATGTACATACATGTACCGGTATGACTTCCATGGATTTATGCATGCAGTCAGCAGATATGTGTACAAGCCACAGTTAATTTGCTTTGAATGCCCACAGAAAAAAAATGTGTGCACCCCCATGCCCCCTCTGAAATATCACCCTACTGTACAAATACATGTACAAGCAGCATGCTTGTCAAGTAGCAAGGGGTGAGAACAGGTGTAAGGCAATGACAGTACAGTACTGCATTATAATGCAAAGCATGACATACATGTACAGGACTACTGGCATGACTGGGGACACAGTTGCTAGTGTGCTCTGTGATTGGATAGACAACAATTCACAAAATTAACATCAAACAGTGATGCTGATTACGGCATGTTGCAATGATTACTACCCCTGTTAGTCAGGCCATGAGACCACTTTCAGCAGTCCGTATCAGTGTATCTGTGACCTCCATCCTCACAGGTATCCGTTTATAATCCTGCGTTGAGAGTGGCAAGTAGAAGTAAAGTGACTTGCCCGAGGTCACAATATGTTACCCGCTGCTGGATTCGAACCCCCAACCCTCTGAGCAAAAGTCCCAAACTCCAGGCACTAGGCTGCATACTACTGAATACCAGTTCTTGTACAACGCTGCACAGTGGCACATGTAGGCCTACATGCATGCCCTGGTGTCACATGGTTGAATGGTTTTCTGTTCTGTCCTTTCATGACAGGGCAATCACATGGACCACTTCAGACAGCTGACCGACTTCCACAGTCATTGTGCTACAACTGAGCAGGTCAAGGTCTGCCTTACAGTGGCAAAACCACACAAACACGTCAACAGATTGCTTCAAAAATGTGGAAGGACCTTTCTTATTATTTTATCAATGACGATGCATTTGGAAACTATGTACGACAGAATGGAATTCTATTTCAAAGATGGATTTCCACCGGGGACAAATAAATTAAGTTTGGATTTGCCCTGCCCGATGTGTATTTTAACACTGTATACTCAGTGAATGGAATTCATAAGAGAAACATCAGTACATGTAGTCAAGTTCACATATCCAGTACATGAACGTACACATAAGAAGTGGGGCTCAAGGCTACATGTATTTTTGAAATGGGAATGGGAGACAGGGCTACTTATCATTTCATTGGGCCCTTCCCTGATTAATGTAACTCGGGCTCCCAGCGAGCAAATCTCAAACAGTAGGTAAAGTCTCACATGTTGCATGTTTCTCCTTTAAGCAATGGATACGTTTTTTATGTACAATGTTTTGTCACTGATTGCTCAGAATTTTGGCGAAAGTTTGGAAATATTCACCACACGTACAGCAGTTACTTGTAAATTATGCAATTAAAGAAAAAGTCCTCGCGTAAACATGAAGCATGCATATTTTGACACATGGCACAGCCGTGGTTTTGTGCACAATACACATGTACTGCAGATCTGTGACATTTCCCCTTTATCTGAAGTCGCATGTTGGTGTCACGCAAACATATAGACAGCAGACTATGTCACGCAAGTATAAATGTGCACATGTGCTGGTACACGTACCGGGTACCAGTGTGCACGTACATTCTGAAACCAGCTGGCAAAGGCTAAGTTTTAGCTTTTATATAAACATGTTTTTCATGCAATGGCAGCTGACAGAGCTGTCCTGAAAATGCATCTTTCGGCCAAAGCAAATGCAAATTTATAGAAATTCCTTCCATTTAATTGTTATCAAGGATAGAATGTCAGGGTAATTATTTTCAATGGAAACAGGCATAAATCAATTCCAGACAATATTGATCCTGATGTGTTACCAAAAAAATGTCATGGCGTGTCGTTGTATTGCGCATGCAATTTGAATTTGGTGTAACCGCACTTCCCAAATTTAGTAAAATTTTAAATAAATCATTTTTGAATAGCTCAAATATGGGATGTTATTTAATTATGAAAATTCACATGTCATATTATTACTAGAAAAGTAAACAGAAAAGGCTATGGCAGACAAAAAACTTTCAAGGGTTACAGAATGTCAACGGCTGCATGATTCCCCAAATCCAATGTAAGAAACCACGATGTTCAACCAATTACTCAGCAGCATATCTGATCTCTAAAATAAAAAACATAAAAGCCTACCAAGAAGCACAAATCAGAAGGCCTAAAAGATCTTTTAAAATGACATTTTTTATTATAAGGCATCGGATAAAATTACAAGTTTGTAAACATCACTCAAATATAATTAACATATAGCTCAAGCAAAATTGCATGTAAATTATGCTTCAACCAACACATCAATATGAAATGAACTGATGATTTTTACCACAATCATCGCCAACATATGGGGTAAAAATTCGATTTGGGGCGGGACTTCAAAAGGATACATTCGTAGGGAGCCGTTTTTCGTGCCGACGGCCAAGATGTTCTGCACCGGGTCGTAGGCCATCGACGTAGGTTCGTATGGAAATCCATGGCGAACGACCTGCAGGAGAAAAAAATGGAGACGGAGAAAATGTCTCAATTTTAGAACAAGATCGAGATGGAATCCAGCTCACAGGGGCAGCAGGCTCAAACTTGGGCGAGCAAAAGCTGCGCAAAGGTCCAAAAGAGCCTGACAGCTGTTGCCAAAATAACCGAGGCCCAGTTTTGAGAGGGCCCTCGATGCGTTGGGAAAAGGACGGGTCAGAGACAGCGGTAACAACGGGTCGCGCACCCACCTTGCATACGGTGAAATGTTCACAGCTCAGAGTCTCTGCGATTTCGGTCTCTCCTTTCGGCGACGAATTCGACGAGCCCGAGGTGAGCCCATCCAGCACCTTTTTAAAAGGGAAACGCTTCATGCTGCACACCTCAACCCTGTGGCCCTGGGGGTTCGGGGAGATACAAAATCCTCAGGAAATCTCGGTATTTTCCATGATCGACATTGTTATTTTTCGCAAGCCAGGCCCCTCGCTTCGGCCGCTGCTGTCATCTCGTTGTGTGGGATTTATAATGCGCCGTGCATACAGTGTGTAATACGGGTACCGGTGCAGACGTCGATACGGTCGAGGCGCTGTTTTGCATTATTGGTATTGAGCATATGGAGCGCGAAATGTTTCAGGTTTGACAACGCAAGAAAAACATGCCCAGGATGTTCACATGTATTTTTCGTTCCTTTATTTTGTCCAAGGTACACCCCAGCAACCGATGCTGGTTTTCGTTGGGGGTCCTGCGATAAGACAAAAATCAAAAACCGATTAAAATTTGTAAATAGTCACCAAATGCAATAAATCTAAGAGCAAAGAACAAGCCAACCTCAAAACTAAATGAATAAAATATGATGCTGAGAAAAGTAACTAAAATAAAGAAACATCTCAATATTATGCAGACTCC